TAGTTCAGTTCTAGTTCAGTTCTAGTTCAGTTCTAGTTCAGTTCTAGTTCAGTTCTAGTTCAGTTCTAGTTCAGTTCTAGTTCAGTTCTAGTTCAGTTCTAGTTCAGTTCTAGTTCAGTTCTAGTTCAGTTCTAGTTCAGTTCTAGTTCAGTTCTAGTTCTAGTTCAGTTCTAGTTCAGTTCTAGTTCAGTTCTAGTTCAGTTCTAGTTCAGTTCTAGTTCAGTTCTAGTTCAGTTCTAGTTCAGTTCTAGTTCAGTTCTAGTTCAGTTTCTAGTTCAGTTCTAGTTCAGTTCTAGTTCAGTTCTAGTTCAGTTCTAGTTCAGTTCTAGTTCAGTTCTAGTTCAGTTCTAGTTCAGTTCTAGTTCAGTTCTAGTTCAGTTCTAGTTCAGTTCTAGTTCAGTTCTAGTTCAGTTCTAGTTCAGTTCTAGTTCAGTTCTAGTTCAGTTCTAGTTCAGTTCTAGTTCAGTTCTAGTTCAGTTCTAGTTCAGTTCTAGTTCAGTTCTAGTTCAGTTCTAGTTCAGTTCTAGTTCAGTTCTAGTTCAGTTCTAGTTCAGTTCTAGTTCAGTTCTAGTTCAGTTCTAGTTCAGTTCTAGTTCAGTTCTAGTTCAGTTCTAGTTCAGTTCTAGTTCAGTTCTAGTTCAGTTCTAGTTCAGTTCTAGTTCAGTTCTAGTTCAGTTCTAGTTCAGTTCTAGTTCAGTTCTAGTTCTAGTTCAGTTCTAGTTCAGTTCTAGTTCAGTTCTAGTTCAGTTCTAGTTCAGTTCTAGTTCAGTTCTAGTTCAGTTCTAGTTCAGTTCTAGTTCAGTTCTAGTTCAGTTCTAGTAGTTCAGTTCTAGTTCAGTTCTAGTTCAGTTCTAGTTCAGTTCTAGTTCAGTTCTAGTTCAGTTCTAGTTCAGTTCTAGTTCAGTTCTAGTTCAGTTCTAGTTCAGTTCTAGTTCAGTTCTAGTTCAGTTCTAGTTCAGTTCTAGTTCAGTTCTAGTTCAGTTCTAGTCAGTTCTAGTTCAGTTCTAGTTCAGTTCTAGTTCAGTTCTAGTTCAGTTCTAGTTCAGTTCTAGTTCAGTTCTAGTTCAGTTCTAGTTCAGTTCTAGTCAGTTCTAGTTCAGTTCTAGTTCAGTTCTAGTTCAGTTCTAGTTCAGTTCTAGTTCAGTTCTAGTTCAGTTCTAGTTCAGTTCTAGTTCAGTTCTAGTTCAGTTCTAGTTCAGTTTCTAGTTCAGTTCTAGTTCAGTTCTAGTTCAGTTCTAGTTCAGTTCTAGTTCAGTTCTAGTTCAGTTCTAGTTCAGTTCTAGTTCAGTTCTAGTTCAGTTCTAGTTCAGTTCTAGTTCAGTTCTAGTTCAGTTCTAGTTCAGTTTCTAGTTCAGTTCTAGTTCAGTTCTAGTTCAGTTCTAGTTCATTCTAGTTCAGTTCTAGTTCAGTTCTAGTTCAGTTCTAGTTCAGTTCTAGTTCAGTTCTAGTTCAGTTCTAGTTCAGTTCTAGTTCAGTTCTAGTTCAGTTCTAGTTCAGTTCTAGTTCAGTTTAGTTCAGTTCTAGTTCAGTTCTAGTTCAGTTCTAGTTCAGTTCTAGTTCAGTTCTAGTTCAGTTCTAGTTCAGTTCTAGTTCAGTTCTAGTTCAGTTCTAGTTCAGTTCTAGTTCAGTTCTAGTTCAGTTCTAGTTCAGTTCTAGTTCAGTTCTAGTTCAGTTCTAGTTCATAGTTCAGTTCTAGTTCTAGTTCAGTTAGTTCAGTTCTAGTTCAGTTCTAGTTCAGTTCTAGTTCAGTTCTAGTTCAGTTCTAGTTCAGTTCTAGTTCAGTTCTAGTTCAGTTTTAGTTCAGTTACGACTTTCGGTATTTTCCTACAAATTACTGGAGTTTTCGTCAGAAGAAATCTTTTGATATTTGTATAGATTTTCTTTTGTGTGGAAATATTTTTCCTCACTGTAACTATATTTGTATTTACATACGTGTTCTTTTTAAGCCACATGATTAATCTTGTACTTTGGGTTAAACTAAAGAGGCTTTAAATTGTTCCAACTATACATTCATTTCTTTACACATGCAAATGTGAAATATATTGTAACTTCCACATCCTCTTTTCCATAATTATAAATAGAGTTGCCAAAATAAATGTATTGTAGAATATAAATTACTACAGAGAAAGCAATCTTCGGGGTATTATTTAAAATGTTTCGTTAATTGTTTAGTTTTTGATATCAAATCAACAGGGGTTGGGGTAATACTTCTTTATATAGATCGCCTCAAAAACTGGCTAATCAAGTCTTAATACGACCAAGTTTTCGTAATTCACTATACTGTTGGAGGTAATTGCGGTTAGTTTTGAACCAATTAACTGCTGAATTATGAATGCGTCGTAAGAATAAGGAATCTAACAATGGTACTTCAGAACGGAAATTAAGTAATTCCCTGAGAAATTTTCTAACAATATGTTAACCCTAGATGCATTAATATTGTCAGAGTGAAATGAATTGCATCGACCATGATACATTGAGAATAATTGCTATAAAGAAATCACAAACATACATACTCATTTTTTAATGAATACAACCACAAAAAGTCTACCATCCTTACAGTTTTGCAAAATAAATTATAGGACACATTTACCTAGTTGTTTTTACTTTATTTCGAAATTGCTGTTATTATGGCAATACAAATGGTTTAAATTCTCGGCATTTAAGTTGTAAATGTTTATATATACTTTTTCTTTTTCTATTCAAATATGAAAAAAACTATTTAGTTTTTATGTTAAGTTTGTATAGTATAAAACATTTTAATCCTATTGAATTGAATTTATAAAATTATTATTTAATTTTTTTTAGATTTTATTTAAATGAATGTATTTTGCATGACATGCATATTTAAATGGAGCAAAGTTTATTTTATTAGTTTTTTTTTTTAATTTTTATACTTGTCTTGTATATCAAACACACCTGGTAACACTATTTGAAATGTTTTTTGTATATTTCTTTTTAAGATTTGTTGTTTTACAAAACCATTAAAATGTCATTTATTTCTAATATTTATTTTGTTAATTTAATGGGCAAAATGTAATATAACATAATGTTTAGATTTAGTTTGCAACTTTTTTTTGTAAAAAAAAATATTAAATTTATTTAATGATTTTGTTATTCCATTTTTAGAATATTGAGATTTCTGTTCCATTCCATTTCCATTTAAAACTTAGCAGTTCGGAGGGACAGTCCTGAACCACCTATTTAATCTACCCCCAGCCACCTGATAACCAGTTGAATAGCTATTTTAACATGTATTTATTGTACTTGTTACGAATGTCTCCGTTCTCGCTTACAAAGGTGACATTAAGGTCTTTATTCTCATTTACAAAGGTGTGGAATGTCTATTGACATCCTCGTAGCCCATGAAAAAATGGTTACTGGGTAGTCGGGTGACTAGGGACAACCCTTAGTGGTAGGGATACATTTACCTACTTATATATGGCATTATAACTCATTATTTTAATACGGCGGTCACCGCGCTCGCTTATAAGTAGGGAGTTAAATATGTTGTCATCATACTTCAAAGGCAGTTGAATAAAATGTTTCATTTTACAGGGATGCGAACCTGGCATCTCGTGTTTATTAGTCCGTTGTCGTAGTCAATTTATTGTGCATTGTGGGTAAACTATGGACAAGATCGTCATATGCTTCAGTTTGTATGCTTCAGTTTGTACACCGACATTATTACAAACGGAATGATAGAATCAATATAACCCCAACTTTTTTGATGGCGGGTATAAAAGGGATTTGAACCCACTCTAGTTTTTGTAATAAGGACCAATTCCAGTTACAGAAGGTGTTAATAGAAGAGGAGAGGAAGAGGAAGTTAGTAAACTGATGTTTAACGAAAGATTTTAAAATCCCCAAAAAATGTAAAAATTAAAAGAATTAATTAAGAGTTAAATTGTGGCAAATATTTAAACATTCCGCCTACGTATTTAACTCAACTTAACCATGCTGACAACAGTTTATTATACCTTTATTTACTCCAGATTATAATAACTATAACTCTCAACAAAATTAAGATTTAATTTAACAAAAAAATAAGATTTAATAGAAATTAACTTTAAACTGTCATATGACCGAAATACCGTCACAAACGTGATATGAATTTACTTTCAAGTTTACCGCTAAACAAACTAAACAAATAAATTTAACAAAAAATTTTTTCTTAATCATCCAACCGTACGTCCAAACTTAACCTTATTTTTACATCAAATGTTTTCGTCATAATGACAAAAACAGCAACAGCAAACGGTGCGAGTTAAAAAGAACATTTAACTGATGAACAGCACAAATATCCAACAATCCAAGTTAACTCCTCGTTCCTTATTCTTCTACTCATAATAAAACACAATTCACTTTAAACTGGCAAATGCTTGCTGGTAATTTATTAATTGAATCAGAAGAGAAGAGTAACCTCGTCAAGATTAAAGGAAACGTAATTTAGACAGTTGATATAAAGACAAACGAAAAACTTTTATAAATTCATTTTAAATAAAATATGAAATTAAAACACAGTTGTAAGTAAGTTTAATTTATATTCTTCACAATGAACAATGAACTTCCAAAATTATGTTGCTGATGCTGCTTTTACTGAAAATTGCTGCCCTAAAATGCTTAGTGGGGTTCTAAATATGTCTGTCCGTCTGTCTTTGTTAAATCAAGGATTTGGGTTTCATCTATATCATCATCAGCTGCAGCATTAGCACCAACAGTGTCAGCTGGTAGAGAATGTCTAGTGCGGTGAACATAGATTTATTTTTGTTTGGTTCATAGAAATATATTAATATGACGAGTGGCGTGGTTAGCTGGTTACAAGGAGTTGCTCTGCTTTTCAACTGTTATTGGAAATGGTTTTTGATATGGGATGTTGTAAGCTTGTTTTTGGCACTTAAGATGACTGGTGTTCTACACAGCTTGATGGTTGTTTGGTTTTTATATAAAATGTTTGCATGAATTGCTGCTTTTTTTTGGCAACATTGTTTGTTATTATTATTATTATTTGTTTTGGTATCACTTTAGTTTCTTTCATTTTAGATTTTTTTTTATATCCGGTTTCCTGTTTGTCTATCAGTGAGTAGCTCTATTTGCCTGCATTTATTTTACATATTTTTAATATTATTGTTGTTTTTGTTGTCATTCCTCTATCTAAAAAGCAAAACATATACTGTTTTTTTTCTTTATTCCTCCTTATATGTTTTAGTAAATCCAGCTGAATTCGGAAGGTTTTACCACCGGTCGTCGTGTTGTTGTAGTTTTAGGTTTACGTGTCGTAGTTGTTGTTGTGGTTCTTCTTGTAGTTGTTGGTCTACGTGTCGTTGTAGTTGTTCTACGTGTTGTAGTAGTTGGTTTACGTGTTGTTGTTGTTGGATTCGTTATTATTATCGTCTCCTGTGGGAATTGTAGCTGAGGTACTTGCAAATGCTTTGGCAACGTTGGTACAACATTCGTATATTTGGCTAAGATTTTTTGATATAAGAGCATTATGTTATTAGGGAATTTTTTAGTGGATCGTTTTTTTCTTTATTAGTTTTTACTCTAGTTGTTGGAAAGTGCATTTTTTGGTGTAATTTAACAATATACACATGTGGTTAGAAAAATAAGTGAAATTAAGGTGATTTCTATAATGGAATAAGACAAACTAATCGTTTTTGTGCTAAAATATATATGATCGCAAATCGAAATTACAAAAAATTTTGCGAGTTATCCAATCTATTGAAATAGTAGTTCCGTTAAGGAATAACAGGTTTCATGAGTCAAGCTTAATCTAACCCTGACAAAGGAAAAGACAATCACTGGTTAGAGCCGATAGAAGGGGCGGACCCAACATCAGAGGAAAACACCCCACTGATGCTGTGAGGAATGCTCTAAAACCTCACCCCAGTGCATTCCTTGACCTCTTAAAGTCGCCCAACCAAACTACTGATATGGCTCTGCAACAGCACTGATATGGTTCGGCAACAGCATCTAGGGACGTAATTGGTGGTTCGAAAACCCAGATCGATATTTAAATTGGTCAGACTTATTTCAGTGGCCATAAGAACCTACTGTGATAAGTTGAGCATGTTTTAGAGTAAACTCCAACACACTCCACCATGATGGAAAATCGCCGATAATTTAAAGATTAAGGTATTACAACTCCGCCAACGTCTCAACCAACTTCCTTGGCACTCCATCCGTCATTCTGACATATCTACAGATACAACTCAGAATACCTCCCATCCATCAGATACATGTATCCGTTAGTACATGGCACATCAACGCATACCCAATCTTTGCATTAGCGGCTCAAATCCAACATTATACTTATCCACAGCCTTGCTATGTGGTTTGTACCGCTCCTAGTTTCTAGGACCGGTAACAGCAACCGTGTATCAATCTTTTAACCAAGCACCCTTTCCCGCGGTTGGGTTTAAACCACAGCCACTACTTGGATCCCGAAGTAACCTCAACCAACTGACCAGCCAGGACAAAGTTCTGCGGGCAACTGGCCGTAGTACCGTAATACCGGATTATATGGTGCTCTGATTCGACCACATGTCAAATTATTCAAAGAAAAGGCAGAGACTACATTTCATCATCACCAGTTAATAGTCCCGGCAGACCAGAGGTACAGGTATCACCTCTTAACCCCGGGATTGTAATACACCAAGGACTTTCAGCCCATGTAGGAACAAATTACTTTTTTTTCAATTTGATTGTGTTAGTATTTAATGTGAATTATAGACTGCCACTTTCTGAAGCCGACTTTGTATGAGACAAGATCATTACGAGAATTGGCACTTTCACATAGACTAACTAAGTTTTGGCAATGAGCTTTAAACGCCTTTTCGTGGGTACGTTTGTGAAGTAATGGTCCTATTTAAACCATAATCCTTGGGTCAACAGAAGAGTATGTGTCTAATTTAATTAAATTATCTATATCGTTTATAAGGTTTATATGAACACACAGACGGATGGAAGGACGGACATAGCTTAATATATTCAGAAAGTGGTTCTGAGACTGAGATTGGTATACTTTGAGGTGGGTATAGACAAACGCACAATACCCTTTCCACTATAGTAATGTAAGATATAATTAATTAACAGAATTTTGTTCATTTAATGATGTATTTATCCTGAAGCTTGTGAAATCCCGTTTTTGACCATATTTGACACTTTATAACAGCACGAAGACACTTTTATATAAAAATATTGTTACTTTACGGTTTCATCTGTGCTATATGTATATTCCTACTTCCCCGATGTATCTTAACTCATGACAGATTTAGACTCAGCTAAATCCTTTTGAAATGTTTACTTCAATCTCTAGGTTAAACATTTGTTTGCTTGTGTTATCTATCGAATTAATCGATTAAAACAAGAACATCTAATAATTGAATGGCCCACTTTTTACACTTACATGGTGAATTCTCCACCTATTTTTCTAACCACATGTATATTCTTTCTAAATTTTTAGACTTTTTCTAGTTAGTACTCACATGTATCTTGTTGATAGCCATTTTCATCAGCCGTATAGAATACTGTTAAATATTTATGATTTGTTAGTGGGTGTGAATAGAAACCCTTGCGAGCCAATAGTTTTTCACCAAGTCCCATTGGTTTCCAGTAGGATTTTTCATAGCGTGTGACACCATTGCTTAAAATGAATCTAAAACGGGGAAAAAAATGTCGAAACAATTAAAAATGAATGAATGAAAAAATATGTGGGAAATATTTTAGGAACAACTTTGGTAATATGGAACCAACACATATGAAGAGATATTAAATAATTATTTAATTAAACTAAAAACTTTCGGATTTTGCAATAGTAAAAACTGCTTCAAGTTACTGTTCACTTTTGTTTTTTCAAAATTTGGAATCTAAATCCTTATCCTTAAAGATAATAAAATTTATGGAAATTTTTTAAAAACTCAAATTAGTATTTAACAAAATTTAAAAAAACAATCAAATTTTTCTGCAAGAGGACTAATTAAATAAAAAAGTTGTTTAAAAAAAAGGGAAACTTTACCCAAATACAATTTTCAACACACAAAACTTTCACGATTTAATGTTCTAATTCTCGCAGAATATACATTAATTTTCAACTGTCAAATATTCCTGCTCATTAAATTTCTAACTATTTAAAGGGTTCAACAGAATAAACATTCCTACTTGTAAGGATATCAGTTTCAATTACAACATTTTTAACTAACAACTCAATTAATTTTGTAATTTCAGCATTTAAATAGAGTAATAAACAAAATTTTCTACCCCCCTAAAGGAAAAAAAATAAAACAATTTAACTTACTTGTATTCATAACTTCCATCCTTAAAATTACGATTAAATTCTTCTAAAACTCTTGGTTTTTTGTCCTCGGCCGGATGATAATAACGTTCTTCATCCTGTTGTTGGTTGCTGTTGTTCGAATCAATTACTTGATCAGGCTTGCTGGTCGCGAGTGATGATGATGATGGCGGTGGTGGTATGCCATTTGTGGTTATTGTTATGGGACGCCTATTAACTGAAAATGTCTGGGCAGCCATTGAAGGAAGTGTGCCACAGTAGACACAAATTAATGCCGCCAATATTAAGGCACGTAACATTTTATGAGCTCTTAGTAACAAAAATACCAAACAACTTGTAAATTTTACAAGAAAGTTATTAAACTTAAATGTTTTATTTTTGGCTACAATGATTTTCTTTACTTTTTTCTTTTTGTTGTTAAAACAAATATTACGTTTCCTTTGTTGTGGTGCGTATGAAAGAATGGATTTTGATTTGCACGTTTGTGCTTGGCTGCAATTTTACTAATTGATATTTATCTCGGTCAGTGTTGAAGCTTTTATACTCCTCTAAAAATATCAGCAAATATTGAATCCTGTTTCTTTTTTTCTTCTCATTTTTAAGTTAAGAAGAATTTGAGGCTTTTTTTGTAGTGTTACGTATTTTTGGTCAGAAAAAAATTTGTATTTGTCTTTTTTTTTTCATCTCTGAGTTTTAAAAAGTTTTGATGAGTTTTTGGTCATTTATTTTGTACGTGCCTTTAGAATTAAGAGCAATTTAATAAGAGCGTGTGTTTATAATTGCCATTCAATGCGTTTGTTAAATAACTCATAGCGGTTTGGAAAATATTTGAAACAGGTTTTAAAGGAATGAGTTCATTTTTTTAAAGTGTTAAGTTTTTATATAAAAGAGTAATGCTTCGAAAAAAGTCAACATTGTGTCAAAATTTAATTTTTTATAAAAAAGGTACTTTTTGGTGTAAAAGGATTATTTTTGTGATGCTCGGTAGACTAGTTGGTAGTGTACTAGCTTATCAGTCTGAAACTTGTGGTTTCAATTCGATTTCAGAACCTCTGTTCTGCTTCACTACAACGGTCATCGTCACCCTACTCGGTAAATTTGTTTAGAATATAATTTGTATTTGTATTGTAATGAATAAATAAGATTATTTTTGTATCAAAAGGGACTTTTTGTGCAAAAACGGATTTCCATGTAAAAATGTAGATTCTGTGTAAAAAGTGACTTTCATGTGAAAATTAACTGTTTGTGTAAAAATGAACTCTTTCAGTAAAAAGAGCTTTTTTGTGTTAATTAGTAGCTTTGGTGTGAAAAGAGACTTTTGGTATAATCAGGGACTTCTAAGTAAAAATGGATCTATTGTAAACTTTTTCCTAGAAATAGTTTTTGTGTAAAAAGTGACTTTTTGTGCGAAAAGTGAATTTTATGTGAAATGTGATTTATTGTGTAAAAAGTGACTTTTTGTGTATAACTGAAAACACATAGACGGTCAGAAAGGCGGACAGACAGAGAGACAGATAGTGGGACAGACAGGCGGACAGACAGACAGACAGACAGACAGACAGACAGACAGACAGACAGACAGACAGACAGACAGACAGACAGACAGACAGACAGACAGACATACAGACAAACAGGCAGACAGACAGACGAACATAGCTTAATCGACTCAGAATGTGATTCTGAGCCCATTGGTATATTTTAATTGGGTGTAGGACCAATATTTTCGGCTTTTAAAAACATTAATACAAACGCATATTACGCTTCTCACATTAATGATGTAGGGTATGGTAATTGAGAGGTTTCGTTTCGTCGATATAATAACAAAGTAATAAATAAACGTTTAAATTAAAATTTCTAATATAAAATTCCTATATGAACCAAACATTAAGATATCATTTATGACTTTAATATACATTTCTTTACGAATTCAATATCTTAAATACCATTACACTTGATTCATGCTGCTACCGTATTTATGGCTTTCTGGCGTTAAAGCAATATTATCTTTACACACGCCTTCTAACATGGCCTTTGTTAAGACCGAACAAAAAAACCCTTGCCAGACATATATTTATCATTTTCTACAAATGCACGTACATACATACATATGTGTGTACTTAAATACACTCTCCACAAACATTGAAATAAATGTATAAACTCTTTGGTAAATTGTTTTGATAATGACATCCAACAATTTTGTTATAATCGTTGCCAGAAAATTTTGGGAAAATAAACAAACTACACGTGTTTTACGTTAAATGTTAAATACGAGTGCAATTATTTATAACAAAAAACAAGAGGGGGAAGTAGGCGAAGGTTAAATCTCTATAATAGTAAAAATATTTTCATAACAACACATCAATAGTTAATAGCAAAATTTTGATTTAAAAGTAGCAAAAGAAGTTAAAACTATAAGTTTAAGTTTAATAGAGTCTTAAGTTTAATAGAGTAAATTAAAGATTGTCCTATAATAGTTAACCTTCCCCTTTCTTAATTTCATTTGTATTCTCTCCAACTATTTACTTCCTCTTCTGAGTATGTGTGTGCGAATCTTTTACTTAAAAGTCACTCTTAAGGTTATTGACCACCAATGTCATATTGTTTTGTTGGCACTCGGATACACTCATCCAATCGAACACACACTTATAAACTACCAAAGTTACCAATACATAGACATTATCTCATCTTCCTAATGTTTTCACATTTATTTTCAATTGGTATAAAAACAGTTTATGTGCATTATTACACATACGAAACGAATGTGGACAGTGGGGGGCAATAAAAGAAAGTTGCAAAGAAAGGAATACACAACGAAGAAAGAGCAAGAAACAAGAAAAATAAAATAATATTTATGGCCCGTTTAACATACGAGTACAAAATATTTTTCAACTGCATCAACAACAACAATAACATCAGCAGCAAACCAAACATTTATTGTACTAAAACACACTTAAAACAACACACACACACAACAAAAAACATCATGACACGACACAACAGTAAAACAATTTAACAACCTGTAGACATTAAACAGTAATAAATCCATGTTTATGGCAATAAAGTACCGGCTGCCACCCGGCAGATCTGAACATACTTTTGGCTGGTAAAATTAATAACAAACTTTTCACATCCGACCAGACCTTCCTATCTATAAGCTATTGGACATTACGGAACATATTGTCTAAGGAATACATTGACTCCCTATAAAACTACCAGGATATTGGTGCAGAAACATCTCAGCAGTTTGCTCGGACAGTCCCGAACTACCTATTTAAACCTAGCCACCGACTGCCCAGTTGACTAGCTATTTAAACATGTTCCTAGTAAGGCAAGAAGTCAATCGTCATCCCATAGATTACTAAGAGACAGACAAAAAGCTTAAGTTTGTTTTTTAAGTGTCCACTCTCTCGCTTACAAAGGGGACACTAAAGTGACGATCTTCACCCTCTTTAGTGGAAAACACTATCTTTTTCGGATGAATTGACCCTTTGTCGAACTGCAGGGATACTCGTTTAATATTAAGGCGTATGTGTTTGATATATTACTAAGAGACAGACAAAAAGCTTAAGTTTGTTTTTAAAGTGTCCACTCTTATATTATCTTCACCCTCGTTTACAAAGACGTTAGCGGAAATCACCGTCTTTTTCGGATGCATTGACTCTTTTTCGAACTGCAGGGTTATTAGTTTAATCCTAAGGCGTATGTGTTTGATTGCAACATAGTCATAGAAAAATATCACTCATACGTACAGTAGAAAGTTATATAAAGTCAGCAATAGAGTGATTTCCACCACTATCTTTTTCGGATACATTGGCTCTTTGTCGAACTGCAGGGATACTAGTTGATTGTTAAGGCGTATTTGTTTGATAGACTACTAAGAGACTGACAAAAAGCTTAAATTTGTTTTTAAAGTGTCCACTCTCTCGCTTACAAAGGGGACACTAAAGTGACGATTATCTTCAGCCTTGTTTACAAAGACGTTAGTGGAAATCGCTCGACACTAAAGTGACGATTATCTTCACCCTTGTTTACAAAGACGTTAGTGGAAATCACTATCTTTTTCGGATACATTGGCTCTTTGTCGAACTGTATGGATAGTAGTTTAATCCTAAGGCGTATGTGTTTGATTGCAACATAGTCATAGAAAAATATCACTCATACGTACAGTAGAAAGTTATATAAAGTCAGCAATAGAGTGATTTCCACCACTATCTTTTTCGGATGCATTGACTCTTTTTCAAACTGCAGGGTTATTAGTTTAATCCTAAGGCGTATGTGTTTGATTGCAACATAGTCATAGAAAAATATCACTCATACGTACAGTAGAAAGTTATATAAAGTCAGCAATAGATAGATAGGTTTTTGAAGATGTTTTTAATAGATTTTTTATTACTAACTTTTTAACTTTTTTAAACGTGTTTACTTTATGAGTGAAGTTTTACTACTTTTAAACGTGTTTACTTTATAAGTGAAGTTTTACTAGTTATTGGCGATGTTTGTGTATTTCAAGGAAAACTTGTTAAGCAAAAAATCACTATTTACACAGAAACTCAATTTTTACGTATAAAATCACTTTTTACACGGAAAATCACTTTTTACACAAAACATCGGTTAACATATTAACAAAATAAATTTATCATTATATTCAAGCTGTAAATAATATTTCCTTTTCTCCTTAAGGTCATGTCAATTTGTGCTCTAATTAATGTCAATTTAATAAGGATACACAGTAATAATGTATTTCTCTTAATGCAGCACAATATTATTGATTACAAATTAATATTTCTCTCAATTTTTTCTACATATTTTATTTTCTCTTTTATACATTTCTCTAAGCATGTGTTTTTCATTTAATGTTTTTTGGCTTTTGCCCACAAAACAACTGAAATAAATATAAAATACAAACAAATAAACTCATATACAAAAATGTAGAATATAATAAATATTCAATTACCACAACTGTCATTTAGATGTTTTTCTATTGTTTAGTTTGGTATTCAGATTGATTTTCGTTAACGCCTTTCAAATGGCCAAAGTTATCTCATAGTTGAGTTGTGCTGGTAACTGGTAACTGGTATCTGGTATATTATTGGCTAGAAGCCATTTTTAGCATATTTGGCAATCAAATACTCATCTAGAATTTATGTCCATACCAAAAATATTATAATAATAAATATGACCATAAAAATTTAAGAAGATTTTGTGGTTTGGAAAGTAAAATTTTTTGGGGAAAATAAAAATAATAATTAACAGCAAAAGTTTTATTGTTGTTTAACTAGTAATAACGTTTAATGAACTTTCATTTATAAAAAGGAAATAAATTAAAAATCCTGTTGCCCCTGTTATGA